GGGCGGGGGCTGGGGGGGAACTGCCCCTCAAGCTATGGACAAACAAAACTGTGTATTTGTGGGACTGAATGTCTCTGGCTCGGGGAGGGGAGACACTGCTGCAGGCCTGGTTGCTAAGCTGCTGTGTTCCCAGTTACTAATCAATCAATCATGATTCACTCAGGGACCAGGGACTCAATACACAGGACCTACCTACTACATACTTAACGAGCAGCAATTAGCACCTACAAAACCAGGCTAAGGGGAGGAAAGAATTAATACAGACAATCACCTGCCCCAAGACAGACACTGTCTTGGCACGAGTTTTGTCTGTCAGCAGTTAGGGGTGCAGGGCCCCAGAGCCCCCCTGCACTGATCTCCTCGACAGCTGGCTTCACAGCAGGGGCCACCATCCCTGCAGCTGTCACCCCACTGAGCCTTAACACACGCAGTGTCATCCATGGCACGAGTTTTGCTTGTCTGCAGCTTGAGGTGCAGTTCCCCCCAAACCCCTGCACTGATCTCCGTGAAACTTGGCAGGCTTTGTGGCCTCAGTAAGAGCTACCAGCCCTGCAGTTTTCACCCCCCCCTGCATTGTAACACATAGATGTGACATGAGTTTGACTTTCAAGAATTTGGGGTACAGTTCCTCCCAAACCCCTGCACCGATCTTCTTGAAACTTGGCAGGGGTCATGCTCTCAGCAGAGCCTACCACCCTGCAAGTTTCATCCAAATCATACAAAAAACAACAAAGTTATAGATATTTCATTGATTCCCCATTATACCCTATGGCCGGATCTCCGAGGCGGCTCCAAAGCTTTGCAGCCGCTGTGGCCGGATCGAGGCAGAAACCCAGTCCAGAGCTCCGGATCGGATCACTGCCATCTGAAGCAGCCAGATCCAAAGCCGGATCTGAAGCCAGATTGGATCGCTGCCAACTTGCACAGGCCTAGAGATTAACAAACAAGTCTGCAACTTGAGAATTTAAACCATCATAAGATAGACTGGGACTGACTATTGGATAAGCATTTAACCTGGGATTTGTAAAACTCTAAAGGGCCAGGTATCACAGCAAGGTGGAATGACACAAACCTCTGTCCTTTGTTTGCCAAGAAGTAAAGTTAGAGCCTGATGAGGGAGGAAGGAAAACTTAAGTTAAACACAAGGTGTATCCCTCTACCAATGATCTTTTGGGTTGCAGGAAAGTCTCCTAAGGAAAGGTATGAGAGTTCCATTGCCTTATATATAACTACGTTGAGCAAACCATGGGAACATACATCTTGGGGGACAGTTGTGCAATGATAGGTTACCTGACCAAACCAATCATCTGAAGGTTATTGTTATATTTGATTCATTCTTAATAAATGTATTGATTTAGGAAAAACTGAACTCTAATACATTTTTCCTTTTGAATGCCTTATTCCTGAATGTCCAGTTAACAATTCTCTTGTTTCTTACGCAGGCACTCGATGCTTTCTTGTATCCAGGTTTTATCTGGTAAACACCTAAGGAACTGGTATCCCACAAGGTCATATCCAGTCATGCAGGCAACCTCAGCTTCTTCCCCAACTAAGTAATCTCTTTTCTCATTCTACAATTAAAACAAACAATAAGTAAATGGAATATTTGCCTACATAGTAAATGACTAGCTAAGGGCATAATTTGTGTTAATTCAACTTGCCTAATCATTTTTCTGTTCTGAGTTTTCCAGAATCTGGTTTTGGAAACCATGTCTGTATAGTCCCTAATTCATAAATAATTTTTGAGCATGAGAAGCTGGTTAGGTTTATTTGGCTATATGCATGTTATGATATTCTTCTGTATCCTGACAGCATGAATACAAATCTTACTATCAGGTTTCAGGGGTCTACATTCATAGTCATGTGTTTAGAGTTCACTCTTCATAACTACTTCCTAAAAATAAATTAAGAGTTGCTATGCTGTTTTAATATTTCTAATCATCAACTTATTTGCTACAATATTTGCTGAAAATAATCGCAAAAAGAGTCAAATTAAATATAAGGGATTTTCTGAGCAAGTCTTTGTGAGTTTTGCCCAAATGTTTGCTAAGATGTACAAATAAATATAGTAATTTAGGTTCTTCTCATGCAGGGATAACAATGTGGATAGATCTCTGCTCCTTTACAAAGCCCTGAAGTCTATTCAAGTAGTGATAGCTGCAATGGTAGGTTATAGAATGCTCCCCCTAAGGATAGCAAAGTGCTTTTGAATTCTTTCATGTAGTACCTGCATACTTAATCATTCAGAGAATAGGCTGAGTTCTTAGGAATCATGAACTAAACACCACATTCGACTGTATCTACTATATCCGCTAACACAGACAGTGAAGTCTGATAGAGGGTTTTGCCAGTAAGTTGCACAGGGCCAGATGTCCATAAGTACTTAGGAGCCATGTATACACAAGCTGAAGTAGACATATTTTTAGTTTTTCACATTCAGCAGCTCTCACTGATCACAATAGCACTTTAAGGAGTGACTTAAAGCTGGGCAGACAACGTTCCTCAAAGATTTTTCAAAAGCCATTTTTTGCTTCCCTTGCAGAAAGCACTGCAGCCTGAGGATGCACCTGCTCTCCTTCTCTGGAGCTTTTTAAAGATGCAAGTTATTAGGCCCTTTTGGTGACAAAGCCACTGTCTACTGAAGAGTTCTGAAAATCTGGCCCCATCACAAAAATGTCTAGTGGGAAGCTCTATTTGGCTCTAAAATGACTTACAACCAAAATATAAGGCCTGATAACCAAGACAACTACAAATGTGTCATGCCCTTGAGTTAATCAGTAATGCCATCCTGCATCTACAATGAACTTTTATTTTGTTGATTAGTCCATTCAAACCACATAAGGCATTTGCCATTTGTTTTCTTTCCCTTTTCACTGGCTCTAATTATCTTAAGTTTTCTTTTATGCTCTAATGCTAGCAGACACAAATTGCCTCCAGCAGTTCCAATAGACTTCATTATGACATTGTTTTTTATGGGTGATACTTTTATTCAGAGTTGTGAAAATCAGAGGAAAAAAGATGGAGACCCAAGGATACACTCAGGTGGATATGATATTAAAGAAAATGCTGCCACAATGGAAATTTGCTGACAAATTGAATGACTAGGTAAAAATCCAAGTGTGCTTAATGCTAGCTTATTTTGGGTGCTCAAGGAACATTTTGCCTTTTGTAAGAGAGCAGTGCATTGGGAAATAGAAAACAATATGCCACAAGAACAGCAACGCTGCTGCAGGAATCAGAACAGTCCTTCAAGGAGGGCATTAGGACATGACTTTCTTTTGGAAACCAGCTCTTCTAGTGTTTTAATTCAATCTCCAACCATCCTGCTTTTGAGGTTACTAATGCTTCTAACCCAGCACAGTGCAGTCTCTTGGTCAGATCACTGAGGGGAGGAGTGGATGGACTCTTCTTTCACCTAATGTATTTCTATAAGGCAGCCATAATAAGGTCCAACTGCAAGCTATGTGAACCTTCCAGGAATAAGAACAGATTTTCAGCTGGGAATTAATCTTCTTACCTAATTCTCAGAAAACTAATTATCAAGCACTGTAGGCCTCTTTCTCAGCTTATGTTGATTGGCAAAGCTCCACTAATTTTGTTAGCGTGACTTGGATTTATACTAGCTGGAGATCTGGCCAAGTGCATTTGTATAGGTTATTTAGATTCAACATTGTAACACATCCCCAGTAATATGCTCTTACCCTGATGAAGCCATTTTCTGGTGGGACTGGTGCAAGGCATCCAGATTCAGGTTCAGCAATATAAATATCCACCTCACGCCTTTCTTCATCATCATTTATGCATGGGGCTCCCCTGCATATACATATAGGCATGGATACAAACTCAAAGAACAGTCACTGAAGCAGATTTGTTTCTAGTAAGACTTTAGGGGAAAAGCTGGGAAGTTAGGCATTATGGAAGAGGTCAGATGGGTTCAGAATGGTCCATTCTAGCTTAACAAATTTTGGTTTGGCAAATACTATCTATGGGGCTCAACCATCATTTTACATACCTGAAAAATGACAACAATTATGATCATATTCTATGGGCTTGTTGGGAACGCCCTCTAATTCACTTGAAGCACTGGGCTTAACATTTTAATTCAATCTATCTTCATAGTTTCATATTTGGTAGGGTCAGAAGGGACCTGAGCATATCATCAAGTCCAATCCCCTGCCATGGCAGGAAAAAGTACTGGGGTCAAACGATCCCAGCAAGGTGTTCATCTAACCTCCTCTTAAATACCCCCAGGGTAGGAGCCAGCGCCACTTCGCTTGGAAGTTGGTTCCAGATCCTAACTGCCCTGACAGTGAAGTAGCGCCTCCTGATGTCTAGTCTGAATCTACCCTCTGCCAGCTTGTGCCTGTTATTTCTAGTCACTCCTGGTAGTGCTCGGGGGAACAGGGACTCTCCCAATGCCTGCTGGTCCCCCCGACTAGTTTGTAACAGGCCACTAGATCCCCCCTCAGCCTTCTCTTGTGGAGGCTGAACAGGTTCAGGGCCCATAGCCTCTCCTCGTAGGGCCTGCCCTGCTGCTCCCTTATCATGCGGGTCGCCCTCCTCTGAACCCTCTCAATGCTGTCCACATCCCTCCTGAAGTGCAGCACCCAAAAATGGACGCAGTACTCCAACTGCGACCTGACCAGTGCCGCATAGAGGGGGAGGATCACCTCCTTGGACCTGCTTGAGATGCATCTGTGGATGCATGACAAGGTGTGGTTGACCTTCCTGACCGTGTCCCCACACTGTTGGCCCATGTTCATTTTGGCATCAATAATGACTCCAAGATCCTTTTCTGCCTCTGCACTGATGAGAAGGGAGTTCCCCAGCCTGTAGGTATGCTGCTGGTTCTTCCTCCCCAGGTGCAGCACCTTGCACTTGTCAGTGTTGAAACCCATCCTGTTCTCATCTGCTCACCCCTGTAACCTGTCTAGGTCCAATTGCAGCCTATTCCTCCCTTCTAGCATGCCCACATCCCCCCACATCTTAGTGTCGTCAGCAAATTTGAATAGGGTGCTTTTTACCCCCTCATCCAAGTCACTGATGAAAATGTTGAACGGTGCGGGTCCAAGGACTGAGCCTTGGGGGACCCCACTGCCCACATCTCTCCAGGTCAAAAATGAACCATCCACCACCACTCTCTGGGTGCGGCCCTTCAGCCAGTTAGCGACCCATTTGACTGTGTAGGTGTCGATGCCACAGTCTCCTAGTTATTTAATGAGAATGGAGTGAGACAGTGTTGAAGGCCTTCCTGAAGTCCAGAAAGACTACATCCACTGCTACCCCTGCGTCTAAGGATCTTCAGAGCATAGAACTAAGCTGGCACCCTGCAATCTTCCCTAAGTAAAGGATACTGTCCCAGGAGTGAAGGCTCCCAGAGACTCAAGGTTCAGCTCAAGGTTTTACCCTCTGTCTCTACTGGAGATAAGTGATGCTTACCATTTCCTTAAAACCATTTAATTTCTCTGCTTTGAGTCACCTTTGTTGTGCTGATCTATACTTTTGGGAACATGAAACCAAGAGTCTACCCACTTTCCACTCCTACCTATCTATTCTACCTCTTCAGAAGAGGGAGGAGTAGCCGTATAGTGGCTGTTTCTCATTTCACATTGTGAGGAGCCCTCATTCCCCAGGATAAGTGTATCGGTCATATTATGAACAACTCTACAGAGAATAAAGAAGCCTGAACACAGCAGACGTGGATATCTTTCTTCACCCTCTGAGAGTATTACTAATTTATCTGTGCCTCTATTTTTCTGATATAGGATCTAAATATGGGGGAAATGGCTAGCAAGCATTTGGAGACAGACATATTATTTTTAATATCTTTTTGCTTACAGTGATGTGCTTATACCTCATCCAGATGTTGCTGTTACAAGGTATGACAGGGTAAAGTTTCTCAGCTAGGGTAAAGTTCCCTTAGAAGCTTTACTTTAGCCCAGTGAACTCTGCTCTGTATTGCTTCCAGTAAACTAGAAGGACTATATCTGGCTGTTACCCTCAGGGCATGGACAGTACAGTAGGCTTTCTTTATGTCTCTCTAAAAATAGAGGGACAGAGACTGGTGTTCTGGAACAGCCTTTCATGGGAAGTAAAAATGCTAATTTGTTAAGCTGAAACTTGGCAAGTATGTGTTTGTGATTAAATGGCACGATTATCTGCAATATGGAAGGACAGAGCTTGAGGACCAAGAGGTCCCTTTTAGTCTTAGAGCCTTATGAAGAAAATGTAGAAAAATCTTTGCCTCCTTACACTTCTGCTGCATTAGTAGGAGCATTGCTAGCAGATTGAGGGAAATGATTATTCCACTCTGTTTGGCACTACTTCTATCATATACTTCATTTCCCCTTCTACACATCATTAATGTGACAAAACCACACCACTGCTTTATCGTTGACACTTGCCAGGTCCTCATTTTGGGTGTACAGGTGTGCTGCACATGAGGAGGTTGTCAGCAGTTTGTGGTAAATCACCACACTTGCATATCAGACTGTCCTTTAAGATGATCTTATAGAGTGTGGCATTAAAGTGTCCAACTCAGGAGCGAATCCTGTTTAGTTTAATCCATAAGCTGCGGAGGAGCATGTACCCAGGTGAATAGGAGGTTGGGCTGCTTATGAAACACTTGATACAAGAATCAGTCTCATCCCACTTTTTGTAGTGTTGTTCGAGTGCCTATATAGTGCTGCTCCCACCTCTACACTGTTGCAACTGTATCTGCGCCTCCCAGTTAAATGAGTTTCTTGACCTTAGTCCCCTATGTACTGATTGCTCCAAGACTTCATGAATAAGGTGCTCCTGGGTATGCTGGACAAAGCTAAGAGTAGCCTTCTGTCTTTTTAGTTGGGAGGTGGTGTCCCTGATAGTATTGGCAACATGTTGGCATGAGTATATGTTACACACCCTGAGTTTCAACCTATCTATCTATTTGGTACTAGTGAGGCCACATCTGGAGTACTGTGTTCAGTTTTGAGGCCCCCACTACAGAAAGGATGTGGGCAAATTGGAGAGAGTCCAGCAGAGGGCAACAACAATGGTGAAGGGACTGGGAGACATGACATCTGAGGAGAGGTTGAGGGAAAAGGCTTATTTAGTCTAGAGAAGACAAGGCTCAGAGGGGATTTAATAGCAGCCTTCAACTACCAGAAGGAGGTTCCAAAGAAAATGGAGCTAGATTGTTCTCAGTGGTGAAAAATGACAGAACAAGGAGCAATGGTTTCAAGTTGCAGCACAGGATGTTTTAGGTTAGATATTAGGAAAAACTCTCCCACAAGGAAGGTAATAAAGCACTGGAACAGGATACCCAGAGAGGAGATTTTTAAGACCTGGCTAGATAAAGCCTTGGCTGGGATGATACAATAGGGGATGGTCCTACTTTGAACAGGGGTTGCACTAGATGACTTCCTGAGGTCCCTTCCAACCCTAATTTTCTATGTTTCTATGATTTATTAATCCCTAACTCTCATATTGGGTTACTCTGTTGGATACTTCCGCAATTGTTACTGTTAGGTTCACTGAGTCCTGCAAGGAAGCATACACAATAAAGGATGAGTGTGAACATTGAAGAGAATTCATATTGCTTTTTAAGCAAATATTTGTGCAAATTTTTAGGTGGTCATTCAGCTATAGTGAAAACATCCTGCTGTGGTGCAAGGATGTGGAATTCCTTTTTGCTTATCACTTACTTGTCAGCAAACAATGAGACATAACAGTCTTCTTCTTGCTCACTTTCGCCCTTGCATGGCTGTCCACCATTCAGTGGTGAGGGGTTATTACACTCACGGGTTCTTCTTCTCTTAAAAGAAGCATCACATGGGCTCCATGAAGACCAACAGCTCCAATAACCATCAACTTCAACTAGAATGGATGGAAAGACACATGAACATTCAATTAATCTATCCATCCTATGTTTACTCCTGGATTCATGGAGTATTCTGTTCCCAATACAAGCTAAGAAAAAGCAGAGCCTGGGCACTTCTTTGATGGAAGATTTCAAAGCCAATAATACAATTAAAATAGATTATACTTAAATTAGTGAAAATTAATTGGGTGACTTTAGCCCAGGCCACCAGGAATTTATGCACCATCTGCTTCAGTAGGGTCTGAACACTCCACTTTAATAAAGGGAGGGCTAAGACCTGAGGGATTTTAAGTTAGAACTGAAGTGATTTAGCAAAGGTCTTCATATTCCTAAGTAAGAGGATGGAAGGAAGGTTCATTATGCTTTTCTGTGGAAAAATGTGGAAAGCGTTGGCAAAATTTTCACTTTTTACACATATTTTTCTGGACGGTAGAATATTGAAAGCCACCTAAGGGATTTGTAAACACGATGTTCATTGATATTAATTTCCATTGATATTAATGGGAATTGGCCTTCCAAAGACTTTGAAAACCACAGCTAAAAAGTCCATGTTCACAACATTATATTTATTCCCATAAATACCTGATGTGTAATCTGGTGCTCGTTTCTCACAGTTATCCCCATAGGTTCCAGCTTGACACACACAGAGACACTCTGTTCCAGATAACACAGGTTTGCCATTATTGGGACAGGGGGCACATTTACAAGGGTCAAATCTGTCCATGTATTCAATTAGGGCTCTCCAGAGGTTGCGGCGTTTAGTCACAGCACATGGAAAGTTCTTCACTACGTTCAGAATTGGGGCAAGCTAAGAGACAAAAATAAAGACCTTCATCTGTATTATCTATTTGGAATGTTTTCAATTCTAAGCAGGAAAGAAAAGCTCAGAGAATAAAAAATAAAGTAGAGGTTTTCTGAAAGAAATAGCAGAGGTTTGTGAAATGCTCAACTTTCTATTGCAGAAGCCATGGGAAAATTTTCTGATTCAATTTTGCAGCCAATCCCTTTCCCCTCCCTTCAGATTTCCCTTTGTCACTATTTGCAAGGAACTGGCTATTTTTCTGTTTAAAACATTCATAATAATGTAGGTGAACAAGGTCTGGAAATGAAAACTTTCTAAGCCTGTTTTCATTGGGAATTAGGCCCATTTTTCTTTATTCTGCATGGTAGCAGCTTTCTGAGGAAAATGAACTACTTGTAAGACCCAATGAAATGTGAAAGGTTTCCTTGAATTCTGAGTACTATGTTCACTATAAACACTTTGCACAACTCTAGAATGGTGTCAATTAATGGTGCCGATACCTTGCAACAGACAGTGAAAGGGTGTCCTCTCCACAGTTAAAAATATTGAACCAGATCTTCAGTTGATGTGTATGGACATGGCTCTCTTAACTTCTATGGAACTCCCATAGAGCTATGGTTATTTACAGACAACAAGATTTTGTCTCATATACACTTCTAAACATTTTAAGTAACCAGGTCCTACAAGGCTACTATGTAGTGAAGAATGAGTAAGACTAGAGTAAGAAAGGGTAAGTTTTATGGCACAAATCATTCAAGCTCAATTTGGAGCCATAAGGGGAGAACCTCATTAGTGTGGTACTGCATGGAAGCTATAAGCTTCTCACCACACCTGCACTAATGCAGCTGCATGCAGCATTGCATTAATATAATAACTATGCTGCTACTTGTTTCAGAGTTAGCCTGCACAATGCTAAGAAGCTCTCTGCATGCCTTCCACAAACACAGCTTCTCTACAGTTCCCAATACAAGCCCTGGGTTGGGAAAGCCCAGCTGCTGGTTCCAGCCCTGGGGCTGCACTTTTCCTACCCCATCCCTGGCACTGGGTTATTTTTAGCCTCCCAGCTCCTTTCCCCATGCCCAGATGGACAACCTCAGTCTAGGTACTAGCCCCTCTCCTGCCAAACCCCCATATCTTGCAAGCCACTTTTGGTGCCAGTTTTACCAGTATTTGCCACTGTTGGGAGCTGAGAAAGTAAGTCAGGGTGTGGGGAGGGCAGGTGAAATGGAGGGGGTTGGTTTGCTAGGAGGGTTGTTCATCTGGGAGTGGGTGGGGGTGGGGGATGACTGGGGGCTAAAAATAGCCCCTGGTCTAGGGGGATAAGGGGAAAAGCTCCCCCG